CCAACTCAGGAGCAACAGTCTCTGCAGAGAGGTCATCAAAGGTCAAAGTACAGCCCCCAAGGGGAAGGCAAGAGGGTCGTGACAGAGGGAACCGAGCTAATGGAGCTGAGCTGACAGGATCTGGGAAAGGGAAAGCTTGGCTGTCTTTAGAGGCAGCTGGCCAACAGAGGGCCCTCGGATAGCAGGAGGTGGGTTCTAGAATGTCAGGAAGCAGTTGCACTTGCATGTGAGTGGGGAGTCCTGGAGCAAACAGTTAAAAAGGAAGCAGGGCCCTAAGCAAGCAGGCAGGACACTCAGGCCACCACTGTGGGTCACATAAGGGGAGAGGAAAAGGCCCAGAAACAAGGTAGAATGTGCTCAGGTGCCCAGGGTCAGCCTGAAGACCAGGTCAGAGCTGATGCCCCAGGTCTACTTGATGAATAGCCCTGACACTTCTGCTGGGACTGCAGAGGTCTGGGCTGAGCACCTGCCCTGGGCCAGATGAACCAGGATGGCCTTGCCCAGGGCTTAGAGGGCACCAGCGAAGAGGTTGAGAACCAGGCTGGACACAGGGACTGGGCAAGGTTGGGAGGAAGCACCCGTGGCTACCAGACACTTGTAATTCCTCATGGCTCTTTCATTCAGTCCCGCACAGATGCACCAAGACCTTACTTCTGCGCGGGGCTGGGACACGCTGCGCATAAGGCACAGCTCCACGCCTCGGGGGCCTGCAGTCCAGGGGGCAAAGCAGCTTGCTAGAAAATCTTAGGAGCAGACTAAGAGCAGGGTGCTGTGGGGCACAGGTGCGGGCATCTGGCCTCACAGGGTGGGGGTGGAACGGAAGACAGCGGGTACACTTGGGAGGAGAAGTGAGCACGGCTAGAACGCAGCTGACCGGGCCCACCCCGGGGCCCCTGATCCTGCTGATAAGGGAAGGCGCCCCGCATCTCCTCAGGCACGGTGGACCCAGGGGGGAACCATGGCCTGGGGAGACACAAAGGTTCTGGGAGTGATGATTCTGTTGCCTGCGGGGCCTGTTTTCTCTCCCATCCCAACCAGAACCTGTCACGCTTCGGCCTCGGGGTGGTCCGGCCCCGCCGACTGCCCTTCATTCCACTGTTCCCATGTGCGGCGCTCAAGGCGGCAGGCGGGGCCCGGTCCCGGCTTCGGCTTGGGCGTCTTCGCCTCCCGTGGGCGTGGGCCTGGGAGCGCTTTGTGTCCCCCAGGAGTAGGCGGGGGCAGGAGCGGTCGCCCTGTGCGGCACAGGGCCCCGAAGGTTCAGTCTGCAAGGTCTGCTGGGGCCCGAGAGTGCTTTTCCAGCCAGTGCCCCGGGGCCCCCATGCGCGGGCGGCGAGGGTGCCCAGCAGAGCTGCTGAAACTCGCTGGGGGAGCAACTTTGGTTGGAAGTTCTGTGTGGGCCGCCGCACAGCTCCTGGGGCGGGCTGCGCCGGGCTGCGTGGATGTGACCCGGAAAGGCCGCGAGGGCCAGGAGAGACTGGGTCACGGGCAGGGGCCCTAAATTCAGCGCAGCTTGAATCCTGCCTCCCGCCCTCTCACCGGCCGGCATTTGCGGGGACGCTCTTCCAGGGCCGGCGTCCGGGCCGCAGACGGAGGCTGGGGCGGCGCGGGTCTCCTCCCGCGGGCCCGCCTGCCGCCCCGCGCGCAGCCCGCTGCAGTGTTGCTCTGAGGCGCGGCCCGAACAGTGGCGCAGGCAGGCTCAGCATGAAGTCTCCGCAGACGGTTTTCAGAATGAACAAGATTTGAGGAACTTTATAAAAGACGAGGCGCCGGCGCCCTTGCCGCGAGCGGGCGGCGCCCTGGAGGAGGCTGCGGCGGGGCCGGGGAGGCCGGGGCTTGGCCTGAGTGTGCGCAGGGGCCTCACGCGTCTTGCCCAGGGCGCTCCCGCCATCAGTTCTGCTCCTTTCAGGAATTTCCTACGAGGTGAACGTCTTGGCTGCCAGGCCCGGGGTCGCCGGCAAGACCGCCTCGTTCCCCTTGGGTTTTCATTTGCCTTTGTGGCTGGAACCTGCACCCCCCAGCTGACAACAACCCCCAGAACTCACTTTGCTCTTTCTTCTGGAAGAGTTGCCCGGGGTCTTTTCTGTGAATGTAGTGGAGGCTCCCTCGCGGTCTCTTTGCTTACATCTATACTTGTTAGTGTTAAATTTTTTCTTGCATCATTGTGGTCTCCATAGTTCGCCCCGCCGCGCCACCAAGGAGGGGCGGTGTGCGCTTGGCCGGGAGAAGACACCCGCACACTCCACGGCCGTGAGGGCGACAGCACAGAGCTCCGGGGTGTCTCTCTGAGTGGCCTTGGGGGCTCTTGTCCACGCTGTCTCACCGGGTATCCCAGCGGCACTCTGGGCCGCCGCGGCTTGCTTCCTGTCCCTGGCGCCAGCCCCCGGGAGCCGCAGGACAGGTGTCTCAGCACTCCACGACGTGCCGTGAACGCCCGGGCGTGGACGGGCCTCGGCTCCGCGCATGCGTCTCTAGACCATGTGTTCCCGCCTAGTACTGCGGTCAGGGCGAAGGACTTCGGTTCCTGCACGGGGCCTGGGCACCTCGGGTTATGTGCAGCTTCGGCTTTCTTGGTCCCGAGCATTCCGCCCTGCCTGCCGGGCTTCTTTCTGCCTCGGGGTGTGGCTTGCCCGATTCCCCAGCTGGGGCGAAACTTCATGTGGCCGCACCTTTGCACCAGATGTACCCTCCTGGGGCATCTGCCCCCCTCTCCATCCGGGAGCTCCCCAAGTCATCCTCCGTGCCCCTGAGCCTGCAGATCTCCTTCCAGAACCTCTCATCGGCCTCCTACCTGAAATGCAGCTTCCCAGGGCTGGAGCCCTGGACCCGCAGTGGGTGCCCAGAGGGGCCCAGGGGCCAGTGTGACGTCCATCACAGCTGCCCACAGGTCCTCAGGAAGTCTGGGTTTTCCTGGCGGGCAAGCTGTGCCCCACCTTGCACTGGCTGCTGGTTGGGTGGCCCATGCTAGCTAGTCTGCTGGTGCCTCGGTTTCCCTCTCTGTATGACGGGAGCAAGACCAGGCGCTGTCGTGTAGTGCAGAAGGATTGAATGAATCTGCCAGAGACTCAGGGCAAGGAGGGCAACTGCCAGATAAAAGTGGCCAGCTCTGCCCAGGTCCCTGATGACACTTGCCAGAGCTGATACAGCCCGGGGCGAGCCAAGAAACACCCAGAGGGAAAAAGGCAGTCGCACCCCAACCTGATGGCAGGCTGATAAAGCCTGTGGCACGCAAGAAGCGCCCAGGGCAGGGGCATTCTTCGAAGCAGACTGGTTTCTGGGTGATAAGGCGATTCCCTACCTGAGACAGGCAACACACTGGGAAAACCCCACATGTTCTCCCCTCCCACGGGAAGGGGGTGCTGGCAACTCAGGCCGAATGCACTCCTGGCCCCAGCCTGCTGCCTGGCGCTGGCCGGGGACGGTGCGGTGGGGGGGGAGTGACTTAGAACCTGCTGCCTGGGCTGATAAACTGACACCCCATGAGGGTCTGTGCAGTGCACTCTAGGAAGGGACAGAGGGAACACTTCCTGCACCCCAATTAAGCCTGGAGCCCCCCATCTTTCCTTGTGCTTATTCTTACCCAGGACTCTGCCTGCCTGTACCTCTTTCTGAGCTTTCTATCTTTGTTTTTTCTTTAAAGATTTATTTTTTATTTATACAGTAGCTGAGATACAGGCCAGAGGCGCGGGAGGATTCACTAGAGATTGAGTGGGGAGCAGAACAGGCAGACGACTGATATACACTGCTGAGGGGAGCAGTGGGGAGACAGGAGAGGTCTGCCGCACCATGTGGGACCCTCGCCGGCCGGCCAGGAATTGAACTGGTACTGCAGAGGCTGCGGACAGCTTCACAGTGCTGCGCTCAACCGGCTGCGCCACTGGGGAGGCCCTGAGCTTTATTTCTATCTCTCTGTTTTGCTTTTGTTTCTGCTAAAGATGTGGTGGTGGGTTCTTCTCATCCTAGTTAAGGACTGAGGAACCCCAAAGTCCAGGAATCCCAAAACCCGACAACAGATAAATGTATGAAAATGGCAGCACAGGCCTGGGCCTGTGGTAACTCCTCCGCCTGCTGTGGGACCGCTGAGAGGCTCGCTGCTGCTTCGCTTGCCCTCACGGGAGCCGCTCTTGCGATGACTGGGGCTGTTTGAGCACCCCCATGTTGCTCCGCCTCGGCATTGCTGCCGACGTTCCTGCCATTGCCACTCGATTGTGCGGTGCTGTGGTCCTCGCTGCTCGGTGGACAATGAGCCTGTGTGGGCATCATTGCCATGTGACTGGCCCTGTGCCCCTGGGCTGCGCTGTACCAGCCTCACTGCCCTCGCAGTGCTGGCGCCTGCGTGCGGCGCTCCCTGCTGGTGGGCACACGTCTCATGTCCTGAGTGTTTCTTGGACAGTGGCCTTTCAAGCTTCACGTGACTGTCCTGGCATCTGGGGTGCTGTCCTTCAGGGTGGCACTAGGGCATCTGTCCGGACATCTGCCACTCGCCCAGGGGTGCGGTGAACCTCAGTCTGCTTCTCGGAGGGGGTTTTAAAGCATATGCACTCAGGCCTGCTGCCCCGGGCCCTGGTCCCACCATGGCCACCCCCTCTTCCTAGGGACGGTGCTTTGGCCTTTGGTCTTGCACGCAAGCTGACCTGGGTATTTGTTCAATGGTAGTTTGGGCTTATTCAGACCAGTAGAGTTTATTCCATAGTATAGGATGGAAACCTGTCCAGTGCCCCCCAGTGCCCTGTGTTCGGGTGACATTTTACAGGTGAAACTTTCCTCTAAAGGGGTGTCTCTGAGCACGTAAGAGTGGAGGTGTTGGGGCCAGAGCATCCTGGCTGCATCAGCTCCGCCAAGTGTCTTCTCTCTGAGCCGTCTGTGCGTCTAAGAAATGAGTAGGGTTGTGCCTGCCCCTGGAAATAAGGTCAGGGCTAATAAGACCACGCAGCCGAGTGCTTCTTGGCACGCCCGGCACAGAGTGTCTGTAAATGTCCTTTGTGTTTACAGGGCCTTGGAGATGAGCGCCTCTCGGGAGTGGGGATGACGTCTCGCTTCCATCTCCGCAGCCTGGACGGGAGGCTGGCACGGCGGGCCGGGCGCCTGCTGGAGGAGTGGGGACAGACTGGCTGCCGCGGCTGCCGCGGGCACAGGTGCACTGTGCTTTGGTGTCGCTCCTGCTCCGCGACCTCCTTTTCCAGGTAGGACTGCCGCCGCGTCCCGCCCTCTCGCTCACCTTTTCTCAGGGGTTCTGGCGTTGGCCACTTGCTTTCAGTCACCCTGGTTGTGCTTTCAGTCACCCTGGCTCCTCGCTGGAGCAATACAGTGTCAGCTTTATTTTAAGGCTGACCTGTTTTTGAGGAAGGGGTTTCAGGTGAGCAGCCAAGCGCACGTGGGGTCACCACCTCGCCGGTCCTATGGGAACGAGCGGTCAGACTGCAGTGGGTTGTGAGGGCAGCCTGGGCTCGGTTGCCTCCTGTTCCGTGTTTGGTGATAGCTCATGGCAGCCGCGGGCCACGGGCTTCTGCACGTCCTGCCTTGCTGCGTGTTGTGCTAGGGAGAGGGCCTCGCTTCTTTCCCGGACCACCCCTGGCTTCTCTTCCACCCTCAGACTCTGCCTAGGAGGCGCCATCAAAGGGCAGCTGACTCCTCTCTCCCCTCCCCAGCACCGCCGTCTGGATCCCTGCTCGCTGGCCTTTATGGCACTCCTGTGTGAACTGGGAAGAGATGTCTTCCAGGGAAGATAGTCAGAAAAAGCGCCCCCACCCCTGTGAGGGTGCCACCGCCCTACCTTTTGTGCAGAGGTGAAGGTGCTCTGTGCTCTGGACAGGGCAGCGTGACGTTTGTAGCTGGGCTTCCGCGGGAAGCCAGGTGCTGATCCTGGCAGCCCCGTGTCAGCCGCCTGCACCATCAGCTTGGAGGCAGAAGGGTCGCCCCTGCAGCCAGGTGGCCACATTCCTCACCAACACCCGGACTGCTGACTGCATTCGGAGAGACAGACGTGTGAGGAAGCCAATGACATGGCCGTAAGCGCCCTTACGCCAGATTTCTAGATGGCGTCTGCTTCCCCCGCAGACCCAGGGTGTAAGTGGTGAGAACCTGCTCCTGTCACGAGACTCTTCCTGAGTCACACACCCCGAACAGCGCAGGGGATGTTGCTTCCGTGCTGCCGCCTTTTGAGTCCAGGTCCCCACGGCTCTTTGCTGTGCAGACTGTGCTTTCAAACATCCTTTTCAGCGCGGACTAGCATGAGACTTGATATCCTGGTTATGCTGTGGCCAGGCTTTCATTTCAAGGGTCTCAGCACAGGCCATGCGTCACACATGATTGGGGGTTTACAGGAACTCTCTGGAGCCTGGTCTGTTTCATGTGTCCATATTGCAGCAGCTTTGCGCACAGGTGTGTGGCAATAGTGGTGTTTAACTTTATTTATTTTCATTTTTATTATTTATATTAAAAGGGCAGGTTTCTTAGGGAAGGGATGAAACAGTAAAGACACTTGCATAGACACGAGCAGGCAGGAAGAGCTGCCCCAGAAGGGATAGGGTTGCTAAGAGAGGCCTGCGTGGTTGCAGGCGGGGGCCTTGACAGGTCACGGGCAGGCAGGAGGCTGCTGCCCTGCAGAGGAGAGCTGGTGAAAAGGGACGCCTGCAGAGTCACGGGGGGCAGTGGGAGTGCTGCTGGTGTTCAGCTTTAAAAAGAGTCTCCAGACCGTAGCTGCAGAAAGTGCCCCTGGGTGATGAGACCTGAACTCGCCCCACCTGCACACCTTTCTGCAGGGCCTGGACTCCCTCCCCGCCTTGTCAGCGCCTTCCCCTTCCCTGGGGGACCTGCGGCCTGTTGTTCTTTGCAAGACCCCTCCGGGTTCACCCAGGCCTCTTGTTCAGCCTACTCTCCCCTGCGTGCTCCAGCCCAGCTCGGCCCTCCCCCTCCCTGGCCTCCTTTCTCCCTCTCTCGGGGCCTCGCCCTGCCAATGCTGGCCCTGCAGTCCTGGTGGCTGCTTAGCCCGGGAGGGTTTAGCTTGGAGGCGCCAGGTCCACACCCCGCTGCGGCTGCCTGTTGCCCAGGCTCCGGCGACACTGCGTGGGCTGCCTGTGTGTGCCGGCACCATGCTCACCGGCTAACTGAGGGCTGGTGGCAGCCCCCTCAGTGGCCTGGTCTGGGGTTGCAGATGCGAAAGGGCTGGGCAGAAATGACGACTGTTGCTGCTGTGGCCGCGGCTCATTTTTGTATCACATTCAGCGTCTGACTTAGTGTCTGGTGTGAAGTAGAGGAACAAGGATATTTCCCCTTTGTTGTTCTTAAAGGAAAATATAAAGGTAAGAAACACACTGAAGAGATCTATGGGTTTTGCCAAAAGGGTGAACAATAGAGAAATACAGAGAGTGAAAAATGGAAACTACCCCCTTCCTCAAATTTCCCGGCCAGAGACAGCTGACGTGGTGGTTTGCTCGGCGGCCTTCCCAGGTGTGTGCCCGTTTTGGTTTTATAAAGATTGCTCTATATTAAGCTCGGTGCCCCGGGCCGTGCGTGCGGATTTTGCACAGGGATGTTCAGTCCGTAACGGCTGCTGCCTGCAGCGACAGGACCCGCAGGCGGCCTGCTTTGGATGAGCCCCAGGTCTAGGTTCCTGCAGGAGGCTCGGTGGGGACGGCACCTTCTTGTCTCGGCTCCTGTCGCACACCCATCCTGCTTCTAGCAGCCGCCCCGCGTGCTCAGCTTGGAGGTGCTGGCGCAGGAGCTGCCCTCTGCTGTTGGGGCCCAACTGCCACCACAGGACACCTGGGTCGCCGCAGGAACGGTGCCCTCGCCCTCAGCTTTGTCTTCCGCGCCACGTGCTGGAGCGGCTGGGGCCAAGATCTTCTGGGAGAAAGGGCGGCTGAGTGGGAGTACATACAACGGTATTTTGCAAAAGGAGGAAGCTGAAAAGGTTTAAAAAGCATTATAGAAATACAACTAAATCACCAGAAATATTTCCTGACCATTTGTGGGACTGTTCTGAGCCACATCATGGAAGGAGGACTCTGGGAAGAGCCTCTGGGAAGAGCCCAAAGAGTGGGTACAGCCCCTGGAGAGACCACCGGCCGGCTCTCAGCACCCCTGGTGTGGACCGTGGGTGCTGCTTGGCCCCACTGGCCTTTTAGCATTCATACTTACAGGAGAGGGTGGGAGTCCTAGCGCCCCTGACTCCCAGGCTGGCGTCACGAGGCTGCTCTGCATGGCACACGCACATGGGCCTGAAGATGCATGAGTTGTCTGTGCATCCATCTTGTCACCTGCGGCCTGGGGCCTGCCCAGGCAGCCTGGAGGGCTGACTTAGTGGCTCAACAGAGATTGAACGGCTGCGGGCCTTGGTCTCAGTTCCCCTCAGCACCAGGCCCAGTTGTGGGGTGCCGGGCAGCAAGGGAAACTTGTGGCCAACAATGTGATGGGCAGATGGACAGCCAGCACCTGGTAGATGGAAAGAGGAAGCAGGGTACTGCCCGGAGCATGGGGATGCCTGCTTTGGTGGATGCTCAGGGCGTCCTCTTTGAGAGCTTCACTTAAGGCCTTTATCGCATGTGGCAAAAGGGACTTTGCAGATGTGGGTTCTTTAGGATCTTGGATGTTCCGGTGGGCCCAGTGTCCCCACCGGCTCCTCAGGAGAGGGTGGGTGGCCAGGGTCAGAGAAGGCAGGAGTGCCGACCTGGAGAGGGCTCAGGAGTCCCAGCCGTGCGGATGGAGAGGGCCGGAGCCAAGGAGCACGGGCGCCTCTCGAAGCTGGAAAAGGCAAAGACAGATCCTCCCCTGCACACCCCGGAAGGAGCCGGCCCCGGCTTCGACCCTGACACCCGTGTCGGATCTCTGACCTCGGGGCTGTGAGGACTTTGCCTTGTTGTGTTCGCAGTTGTTAAACCCGTGGTCGTGGGTCGTGCAGCCAAGTGACAGCGCGTGGGGGCTTGAGGGCTGGAGGAGAGGGACGTCACCGCTGCACCTGGCTGGGTGGCGGCTCCCTGTTGGAGCCGGGGCGGACGTGCTGCGAGGCGCCATCGGTGGCGGTCCTGACGCGGCTTAGCGTGCCTTCCTGTCCGCGGGCGGGGAGGGCCGCGCGGGGGCTCGGGGCCGGCTGCGAGTTATGAGCTGGTGGGGTGGTGGGGACGCGGCTGGCTGGCAGGCCCTCCCCAGGGGCCGCTGGAAGAGAGGAGGCACTTTCCTCGCAGAGGAGCGAATTGAACGTACGCCGTGGCTTGCCAGCTGGCCAGGCAGGCCCTTTCCCGTAGAAAGGGGAGACAGACATAAAGAAAGCAAGAAGGTGGGGGCAGAGGGGTGCCTCCCACAGCACCCGGCCTGAGTTTGAGTTTCGTCAGGTGCTGCGTGGCCTGGGCATCCCCTGCCAGCGTACCCTCGGGAACTGTAGGTAGCTGGCTTGGGGGGGAGGGGGGCGGCGGTGACTCGGCAGCCTTGTGACTGTGTGATCTGCAAAGCCCCTGGAGGAGCAGATGGGCCTGCTCACGCCGAGGTGGACGGCCTCGGAGGGGCAGGAACCCACCCGCTCCGGGAAGCGTAAAGCAGAGGAACTTGGCAGAAACTCAACTTCTCTAAAAGTATTAAAAGCCCGTGACCCGCAGCGGCTGGATCGGGAGGCCCCTCAGCTCCGACAGCAGGTCCTTGACCGTTGAGCCCCAGGGCGGCCCTGGCATTGAGCAATAGGGCTCTGCCCTGGCCCCCTCCCCACTGCCCACCCCGCCCTGCTTGCGCCGGAGAGGAGGGGCGGGAGGGAGGGCAGGAGCGAGGTGGCCTGCGGTGCGTGCACGTGGCTGTGCGCCGTGTGTCCGCGCAGCTCCCGGGCTGCCCTGGGCGGCCTCTTCTCCTAGGAGGGACAGAAAAGCCCCGCGTGGCCCCAGCGCCAGTCCTGGGCTGCCGGGGCTCGGGTGGCACAGACAGTGCTGACGAAGTCGTCCTCTGCGTCAAGCTCTTGCTCCGCGTGGGGCCTGTTCTAAGCCTCTTGGCGTTTGGAGCAGTGCTGAAAGCCAGAGAGCGGAGGTCATGTACCTGAGGCCAGGGCGATGGGGCAAAGCCACTGCTGTGTGGCAGTGAGAGGGCACTTAGCCCTTGTCTCACCTGCCAGGTGGGCTTCTTCGCCCCCAGGGGGCTCTTGTTCCCTTGGCAACCCAGCAGGGAGGCGTCCTCCGAGGCCACAGGCATCTGGATACGGGCCCCG